TTTCATTTTTAAAGAAGGCTAGACTATCATGAATTCTCTCTCTGATACCTGATTGCCAGTTTAGGTTTCAAAAGCAGATCATAGAATCAAATCAATCATGTATATAAGTAGTTTGAGGGAAAAACACATTTTGACTATCAAAATGTAATGTTTCTTTGAGCTGTCCAGGTAGTTTCTATTTATACATTTACTAACAAATTAGGGCTCAGCCAGTTTCTAAGAACATCCTGAGGTTTATTCTGTTTTCTTAGTAAAGGAGATCAAACACTACCAGGACACAGAAGAACGGAGTTCTCCTTTCAGCTCTACTGCTGCCCAGCTGTATAAGGCCGAACAAGTCACTTAACTCCTCTGGGCCTCAATTTTGTCATCTTTAAGAAAAGAGGATTGCACCAACATATAATGTCTAAGATAACGTTCACCTCTCATATTCTGTGAGCACAGTGGTTACTAGGCTTTGTTTTTTACTTCTTTACTAAACTCTGGAGAAAATGCAGTTAAAGTATAGAAGGCCCTCAAAAAAGGTAAACACAGCTTTTATAGTTTGACTTTGTAGCCTTTGGAAGTGAAGCTTCCTATAGTGTGTAGATGATTTTTAAGTAATTCTGGATAGTTTTTTTTTTTGTTTTTAAGCCTTTTGGCCATAGAAACACTTACTTGGTGACTTATCCTTCATTTCTACCAAATTAGGAGGTGTTACAGGGCTAGAATGTAAAGACTACGTGTTGACTTCTGAATTTTATGTTTCCAGGTTGCGTGGTACTTCTGTAATAGTTAGGTTTGTGACCAATACAACTAAAGAGAGCAAGCAAGACCTGTTGGAAAGGTTGAGAAAATTGGAGTTTGATATCTCCGAAGATGAAATATTCACATCTCTGACTGCAGCCAGAAGTTTAGTAGAACAGAAACAAGTCAGACCCATGCTGCTAGTTGATGATCGGGCACTACCTGATTTCAAAGGTGGGGGACATTTGGAAAGATTTAATAGTTGGATCTTCATATCTGCTTATAAATCATTCTTAAAACTGGATGTTTAGTGGCATTTATTCTGATTTCTCCCTGTTATTATTGAAATGGTTGACAGTACTGATAGAATTTCAATCTAAATTGGTGTTTCTCAAACCTTTTAGACTGCAATCCACAATAAGTGAAATAGTGCACATATATATGTTAAACAATGCTGTATAAGATGTATGCTATTTTCTATTTGGTTTATTTGATTGTTTGATATTGATGCTTCTTAGAGTCTTCCAAATTAGTTTCACAATGTACTAATGGATCATGACCCATGGTTTGAAAAACAGATCAGAATTACTTTGAGTATTATAATCTTCAATCTAGGAGCCACTATATTAACTTGATTAAAGAGATAACCCAAGATCTCCTTGCTTAAAAATAGATGTCATTCTAGATAGTGTGAAGTTTTTACACCGAACATGAAATATTTTTTAATCAAGAGAAAGTGAAGTTTTCTCTTTGGAAAAATCAACAGATTCTGGAAAAATATTATGGTTTTATGAAGCTTTGCCACATTGCTTTTTTTAATAGATGATACTCAGTGAAATGACACAATATAGAAAAATGAATATAAGTACATTCATTATAAAACCATGTGATGGCTTTACAA